TTTTAAATAAACATAGGTCAAGTTAAAGAATTTAAAAACACTTATTTTTTTTATACAGGAATATAGTATATATTATCATCACTAATAAAATAAAATTATTCTTATTCTAGCAAACAACTACAATAGATTTTATAAACGTACACATATTATTATATACTTAGATTGTTTACTTATAACATATTGTTATTAACGATAACGATTGTGCGTAGGAATAGAGTTTAATGAAATACATGCTTAAAACCGTTAAATTTGTTTATTGTTTTATTATGGAATCAACTCTCATTGCCTATAGGCAATGATATAACAACTTCACCTACTAATTGTGCTTCACTTGGATCATTTGCAACAATTACACGTTGATCATGTTCGTGAGTCATAGAGACAATCTCATAACAACTACTATCCTGTGTTACATCCGATGCTTCCATGGCATGGGGTGACAAAATTTGTTTAGTTACTTCTAGGCTTTCAATGCGCAATGTTTCAAGTAAGTAAAAACCATTTTCATCAATACGATATGTAAACCGTTTATGTCCTGATGGTAGTTTAAAATCATGTTTCTTGATCAAATGCTTTGACAGATATTTACTATGCTTGAATAATTTATCGCAGCAATGACACATGTAAATAAAAGGACTATTGCCATGAACTTCCAAACAATGCTGAAATTTAAATTTTTGGAGATTGATCAATTGAAAAATACAATAGAAATTAACGACATTGTCTTACTCGTCTTAATAAATTATATGTCCGGACAGCATAATTACAACCAGATTGCTGACAACGATGAACTTGATTGCTATGAATGTGATTCATATGTTTTTGCAAGTCGCTTTTTCGTACACAACGATGTTCACATTCAGTACATTTGAAAGGCTTATCCTTCAGGTGCCGATAACGTATGTGTGTGGCTAATGAACTTGAAGACGGGCAAGACATATTACAAAGACTACACTTGTAACAATTTACATGTTTTAAGAAATGGGATCTTAATAGTTTCTCGGTCGCAAAATATTTAAAACACTGCTCGCATTGAAACTTGTGAGCTAAAATAAAAAAAAATCTATATTCAAATGTATATCTAATTGAATTAAATACTGACTATTATTTTCAGGTTGTCTTCTTAGATGATCAAATAAAGTAGTCCTAGTCCTAAATACTTCACCGCAGTGATAACATGCTAGTGATTTTTTATTCGCGTGAGTAAAGATATGTTCAATTAATCTATACTTATTTTCTAAATGCTTGTGGCATATGCTCCATTTGCATTTAACTTTTGGTCGCGTATCATTCGGAGATTTCTGGATCTCGTATTCAAATAATGCATGCTGAACAATGTGATCTTGAAATTCGACTATAGACACAAATGTTCTTTGACAATCGGTCCATTCACAAAGAAAGTTACACTTCAAATCGGGGATCTTATCAGCTTCTTTTGGACGCGCACTGCAATTAGGAATATTTGGATTTTGCTCACATTCATATTTTCCTCTTACTACAAGTGCACTGTAATATCCATGATAATATATGTGGCGCTTAAATTCTGTATAATCAATGGTAAAAAAGTTGCATTCATTCCATGGGCAATAAAATGTTTCGTTATCTTCCTCAACATACACATCCAAATGTCTTTTTATATGCTCATTCAATTTCCAATCATCGGTAAAAAGTTCAACGCATTCTTTCCATTGACACGGCACTGGGGGAAACACCTGCTTACTTTTCCTTGCGCAAATCATTTTATTATTTCTTCAAATTTTCTAACTGCACTAAAATAATAGTACCAGGGAGTATTGAAAATCCATTCACCATAGTAAAAGAAATATTCACAATCCTTCACCTACCCCTCAAGGGTACATTCACAATAAAAACATTATGGTAACCACTGCCGAATAAGGGTGGCGAGAGGCCAAATGGTAGTACAATTTATAAATTCTATTTTCAATGTTTGTTATAGATATAGAGTAAAGTTTATAGCTGTTATCAAAAAAATTAATTACACCTTCATGATATAGATAAATATGATATATGTTTTGTAAACGTTAACTAATTAATCATGGAAAAATTCCAAATTATTTTTGAGTGGACCATAAGAGATAACTATTGTGGAAAAGTTTGGTATAACATATCATAATAATTCGTTTGAAGCATTCACCGTCGAACTGTCATCGTAACCGGTTGCTTTTCGCTCTTTGCTTATTGAGTTTGTTAAAACGGTATAACGGTTTGTTCTGCGTTTATATTAC